ATGTCCAATCTAAGCCTAACTCTTTAGATTTAAAGCCTTTACTCCTTGTCCTATCAGTGCCTGTCCTTGTAGAAAGTCTCTTCCCAGCTTCTACAGGAAGTCATCATAAAGATCAAGCTGTGAGAGATGTGGAGGAGAAAAAAGGACATTAAAAGCTATTCTTTCAGATGAATTGCAGACATAGTTTCTCCATGCAACCCCATAATATTTGGAACTTCCTAGATGTATTCATCATTCTTTATTTAATTCTATGCTTTGCTTGTTCAGATGAATGCTCCCTTCTTCAAACCTAGATGAGACTTACATAGAGGAAAAGACCTCAGTTGAGAGAAATAATATACACCTAAACAGGTCCACAAGATCTTGAAATCTGGATGTTTGTGCTGTTGGAAACTATAAACAAGTTCAATGTTGTCATCCATGTTCTCCCTCTAAAGAAAGCTGTTAATGAATAATTTGTTTTAAATCACGACAAAAACATTTTCAAGAAATTGCTCAGTCCTGATCTTGATGATAAAAATAATATCATTTGGAGTAGATCTCATTGTCACTTAGGCTAGAAAGGAACATTAGCCTTGTTCTGTATGTTATGATTTTATTGCTATTGTAACCTTGGAAAACATTCAAAGGCAGAGCCAACATTTCTTTCAAAGGGAGTACCAGAAATCTTGTTCCCTGTATCAGTGTTATTATTTTCTTTTTTCCTTTTATTTATATTGTTTTAACTCATTCTCAGCCTAGAATACAGCTGTTTGGTTTTTCTTTGTATGTTAACAATGTATTAAGCAAATGAAAGCTTTCCTGGCACAAATCATGAAATAAATAAATATTCTATATAAAGAAAATATTCCTAAATTTGCCTTGTGAGTGTAATATATTATGCCTTAAAATTTGACAGGTGTTATCAGTCACCCAATTAAGCAACTTTTATTCCCAGTCCAGTAATACAAGGGTGAGTATACATGACTGAAGTAGAGGTTCTACATTTTTTGGTCCAGTCATCCTTCTGACATCATATTGCTTTTTCTTTACCTCTGAGGCTGACCAGTCTATTGCATGATAGAGAACAACAGAACAACATTAACAGCAGCTGTTGAGGTTTTCTGTGTATATATGAAATAGGAGCCTATCAGATGTGAAGTAGATAATGAACAGTATGTGTCTCATGACTGCTACCCATACAACAAAAAGTTTGGCTGGTGCAACACAGACCAGCATTAACTGTCCAGAAGTTCTCTCTAGCATAAACTTTAATATAAGTCCATAAATAATGTAAAACATTATCAGAGATAATCAAACAAGTGCTAAGTACGTCAATCTTGGATTTAGAAGCTGTACAACTATATTTGTACAATGCCTCATCCAACTGAAGTGGCTGAGAAAGAAATTTCATTAGCCCAGGCACTCATTAGCACTGCATCAACAAATCTGCATTGTCTGTGGGAATCTGAGTTGGCATTGCTATTCACTGTTTTGCCACAGTACATCAACATATGAGTTCTGGTTGCTTGCTTTAAGCTGTACTGAAAATACAGACCTCATGGATTACTCAGAGTCACCATGCACTAGGAAATCAACAGATCATAAAAGGAAAATTTAGTTCAAAGAATGCAGCAAAAAATAAGCCTTAACTGTTCTCTGCCAGATCCCTCTGGACCTGCAGATGTATCTCACTGGGTGTCGTGGACTTTTGCACATTCAAATTCCTTAAATGGTATCAAACATGATCTCCTATTGCTGGCAGTTTTTAATTCTCCCAGTCCCTGCTTTTATGGCTCAGGTGGTGTTGCTGGAACACTAACTGGTGAAGATCAAGACAAGAAAGTCATTAAATACCTCAATCTTCTCCATATCCTGGTTAACCAGGTCTCCTGTTTCCCTTTGGAGAGGGTTCATGTTTTCCCTAGCCTTCTCTTGCCATTAGTGTACTTGGTCAGATTTAGTTTTATCAGGACTTTAGGTTTCTTACCGTGATCTCTGGCTGCTTGGATAATCTCTCTGTATTTATCCCAGGTTACTTGACCCTGTTTCCACTCTCTGTGGGCTTCTTTTTTGTGTGTGAGGTTGTTCAGGAATTCCTTGGTTATCTACACAGGCTTCCTGTTATTTTTGCCTAAGGTGATCCTTCAATATTAACAAGCTTTCTTGAGCCCCTCTTCTCTCCTAGGCTTTATCCCACAGCACTCTAGCAAGCAGAACCCTGAAGAAGCCAAAGTTTGTTTTCTAGAAGTCTAGGGTAGTGAGCTTGCTGTGTGCTCTTCCCACTTCACTAAGGATCTCAAAGTCCACCATTTCATTGTCACAGCAGCCAAGGCTGCCCTTCAGCATCATGTTCCCCACCTTAACAGCTCCTTCTTGCTGTTAAGAAAAAGGTTCAATGCAACATCTCCTTGCTGTACTTGGAGAGGGCCACCAAGGGCGTGTTCTAAGAACTTGCTTCTGCCTGTCTTTGTTTTCCTTCCAACACAGAAAAATTGATGTGATATTGGGGCAGTTGAAGTCCCCCACAGGGGCTTGTGAACATGAGGCTGTTCCTATTTGTCTGTAAGGGGCCTCAGAAGCTCAGTCTTCTGTTGGGTGGGCTGCCCCAGACCCACACTACAATGTCCCCTCCTGTCCCTGCTCTCCCTTTAATCCTGACCCATAAACTCTCAGGCTGCTGCTCATTTATTCCTAGGTGGACCTCCATGCACTCCAGCTGGTCATGGACATGGAAGGCAGCACCCCCTCTTTGTCCTTCCTAAAGAGCCTGTATCCTTGCATTCCACAACAGCCATTCCACCACATCTCCATGACAAAAAGATCATAGCCCTGCAGGTGGACATGTTTTTGTAACTCCTCTTGTTTACTCCCCAGTATGTGTTAGAGGTATTTAAGTTGGGCCCAGGACAGGATGGAGCTGACTTCCTTGCTTCATTTGCAATTATTATTTTCAGGAAGTATTTCTAAGCAGGTATTTACTTCATGAAGTTATACAAAAAAAAACCACCTTACCTGTCACAGAATAGACTCTAAGCAAATAAAAAAGCTAGAAAGTGAAGTCTCTACAGATCTAAGATGACATGACAAAAGAAGCATTATAAAAGTAGCAAGAGAGATAAAGGGTAATAACCCAAATATTCAACATTTGGAATAAGGCACAGGAGGAATTTTAAAGAAATGCATGTACAATTTTCTCTCTAAAAATAATGTAGAGATGAAGGTAAAGTTCAAGCACCCAAACCCATTTGAAAATACCAGAGGTCAGTTGTTCTCAGGCTTACATTAATGGCACATTTGTGTTTGTATATCTTACCAGCATTTTGTCCTCCTGCTCTTACTTTTAGTGTTCTAATCGTATATTCAGCTTCAAAATAGTTTGATATCTTTTTAAAATTAGCAGTGAAGGGTATGATTTCTTCTTTTCCTCCACAAGTATAACTCTCCAGAGGGATACTGGCCTGAAGCCCAGGAGTAGTGCTGCAGGCTTAGACTAATAAATCATTTTTAATCAGATAGTTTGTATCACTGTAGTAGTGTTAATTTCCTTGTAATATCTTTGTGTCCAGAGAACTCACTGTGGTTTCTTTCAGCTTTCACAGTTTCATCTTCTGAATTCAAAAGATAAATATATAAAGTAGAATCCCCCACATATGCAAAATTTGAGGTACTAATAGATTATTATTTAATTGAGCTTTCATTTATAAATTAAAAGTGAGAGAACCATGTGAGAGAAACATAATTTCAAAGGAAAAATAAAACTATATCAAAATTATTGCTTCTTTTGTATAGATGCAACTAAAAAAGCAGTTGCCTGTCATTTTAATTCCTCTCTTACATTCGTCATTACATTAATAGCATTGAGTTTATCAATACTGAAAACATTACTAGGAATTTGTATCTTCTCATATCCTTATCCTTGTTTCATTTATGTGCATGAATAATCTAAAAATATTTACTGATATTTTTGTCCTCAAAATATGTATAATATATTTGCATCTACAATAAAATAAATGAACTAGACAACAAAAGGATATATGAAATCCCTGAAGAAGGTATAACCTAAAATAAATCAGAATATTTTAAGAATAAAGTAATGAATCCATTTCATTATTTCTTGCAATGAGAACAGCAATCTGAACATTAGGAAGTTCAGAATGTAATGCATCATGGACTTCCATATAGAGAGCAGAAAAGCAATTCTAATAAATAGGCAGATCATATAAAAATGATTTGTATCAATATCTATCAGTCTGAACTCTGACAGTAGTGCACCCACTGTTTCCCCCAAAGTAGGCAATAATGAAAAAGTGTCTCTTCCATTTATGCATTAATTTCAGGACTGATTGCACCTAACCACATTGAATCTGTCCACATCCTTTTCAAGCATGGCAACTAATGATCACAATTCCTGTCATGTAGATCAGTGCTTCAACATCCGGTTGGAAATTGTCAACTCTGCATACTACAAATCTATGCTCTGTCAATATTACAAATGGATAAGCAGACAGGTGCCATTTCAGAACTCCTCTCATACTGTTTTAAGCTATGCTGAGCCATTTTGTCAAATAAAGCTCAAAACCATATTTCCCTGAGCTCCAAAAATGTTTCCCTGCATTTGTTTTTTAATACACAATATTGGAGGTGTCCATTTCCAGTTTCTAACCCTGATTCAATTTTTACTTTTCAGGATGGTACAACTTTAAAGTATAATGTCCCAAAATAAAACACTGAGAAAATATCATAACAATTTTGTATGCTAGCTTTTCAGCTAGGCAATAACTCATACATAGAGGATGTCTAATGGATCTTATGAAGATCAAATTTAATAATTTTACAGGCTGGAGAATTGAGAACAGTCCTGCTGAGAAGGACTTGTGGGTTCTGGGGCACAAAAGCGTGGACCGGAGTCAGCAATGTACATTTGCAGTCCAGAAAGTCAACCATATCCCAGGCTGCATCAGGAGAAGACGTGGTAAACAAGGGCGAAGACGTGGCCAACAAGTTCTAGGAGACCTCACCTGAAATACTGAATCCAACTCTGATGTCCTCAGCACAGGAATGATAAGTTCTTGTCAGAGTGAATCTGGAGGAGAGCCGTGAGGATGATTGGAGGGATGAAATATGTCTTCTATGAGAAATGTCTGAAAGAGTTGGGGTTGTTCAGTCTGCAGAAGAGAAGGCTCTGGGGAAACCACATTGCAGCCTTTGAGTACTTAAAAGAACTTTTTGAGACAGATGTGGACAAACATTTTCTCAGGGTCTGTTGCAATAGGACAAGAGGTAGTGGTTTTAAGCACATAGAAGGTCAACTTAGATTTGATGTAAGGAAGGAGTATATTACAGTGATGGTGGTGTGCCCCTGGAGCAGGTTGCCCAGAGAGGTGGCGTTTATCCCATCACTGGAAACATTACTGGTCAGATTGGATGGGAGTCTTAGCAACCTCTTGTAGTTTAAGATGTCCTTGCTTATTGCAATGGAAGTTTGAACTAGATGACCAGTAAAGATATCAAACTGTTCCATAATTCTATGATTTTCATATTTATGTCTCTTGCCATCTTCTTTAATGACTGCCTAATTCCAAAAAATAATAAAGAAATTAGAGTGAAGGGAAAAAAAAAGAAAAATGTATACATCAGGACTAAATTATTGTAAGAGAAAAATTATATTTACAACATAAGTTTCACTTTAATTACTATGCAGAACATAATAAAAGCTAAAATGAAATAAAATACAACATGATCAATAAATTGCATAGTGTTAATCATGTCAAATAAGGGACATTCCAGAAAATCTGGAAAAGGTCAGTGATGATTTACCTACTACTGTAAAAATCTACTTGACAACAGAATGCTAGTTTTTCTGAAGGAACAGACATTTAAAAAGTTACAGAAGAAGAATGAATGCTGTCAAATTAGGCAAAAAGAGTACTTACAAACTAGGAATGACAAAGAGATAATCATGCTTTCATCAAAACTTCTGCATAAAATAACATCTACTGTTAAAAAGTGTGAAGAGTTTTGTTTGTAATGAATATTTTGACAGATATGTCATACAGGTTTCACCTCTCCTCCAAATTTCCATTCTATTAACACAAAAAAACAAATGGAAGAAAAACATCTTTGGTAATATAGTAAATGCACATATATACGCATACATATTTTAAGATATATATATATGCTCTGATGGTTAAGGAGTATGTGGTCCAACCTTTTGAGCATTTTCTGATTTATTTGCTTTGTTAATCTCCTACCTATGTTTTTAAGATAAACACCACAGGAAACTTCCATTGGATTTTTCTTTCCAAAAGGTTTGATGCATTCTCTAGCTACTTAAAAGATGTTGATCTAAGCCTCATACCAACAGTGTGAACTAGTGCCCTTTTCAGGTCACAGATTTTTTTATGCAAAGAGAGATCTATTTTTAATTTTTTTTTTCAGATGGAAGAAATGTGTTCTCATTTCTATAGATATTAATTCATTATGTGATTTTTTTTCACACTATACCATTACCAAGGTATTTCAAAAACTGTAGAATAAACTCAACACCAATCCATTTATCCATATCTATGTGTGTTTGTGTTTGTGTCCTTACATTTATGCAGTCTCCCTGTCTGCCCATGTAAAGTCTGTGGTGAGTTAATCCCTGCCAGACACTATGCCTGGCTCTTGCTCCCTCCCATCTTCCACAGGATGGGATCAAAACAGAAGGAAGGCAAGAAGGCATGTGGATCAAGATTATGACAACTCAATAAATTAGGCAAAAAGCAGTTAAGTGACCAAAGCAGAAAAACAATTTCTTTTAATTCTTCCCGTTAGTAAGCAGATGTCCAGCTGCTTCCTGGGAAGTAGGGCCCTTAGCATGCATTACAGTTGCTTGAAAAGACAAAGACCACAATCACAAACTTCCCTCTTCTTACTATTTTCCCTGAGCTTCTTACTGCTAATCATGACAGCTTAAAGTATGGAATATCCATTTGGTCAGTTTGGTTGTCTCAGCTATGTTCACTCTCAAATTCTTGTCCATCCCAAGCCTACTTATTCTGAATGAAGTGAAGAAAGAAAGCCTCGGTGCTGTGCATTGCTGAGCAATAAATAAATGATTACTGTGTTCTCAACACTTTTAGCCACAAATGCAAATCAAAGCATCGTATGGGTTGCCATGAAGAAAGTTTACTTCATTCCACCCACACTCAATTCAAAAACTCATTTCCTATTTGCAGATGTGAGGAAAGAGGTACATTTTATACTTCCTCCATCTTTCTAATTTTTACCATGTTGCACAAAGAGAAAATTATGAGACTACATCAAAAGTGAACCGAAAGATAGTAGTGTACCAAGTTATACTCGATTCCCATGATAGAAATAAGGGCACTGGGGCTGTAGGACACACACAAAAAAAAAAAATTTCCAGAAGCTTTCCAAGTATCACTATAGCTAAGTTTCTATGTAGCTTTTCACTGTATTTAAAGGGAGTGAAAATAATTTTGCTACTGCTGTTGACTTTTCCATATTAGTAGAAAGTACTATGTATGTTTGACATAATTCTAATAATAGAAAAACTTATTTCTTCTTTCTGTTATTGGAAATTGTGTTTCCATTCTTTCATTTGTCTGACAGCTGTAAAGCATATTTTATCTTTAATTACTTTCAAGGGAAAGAGGTGAGCTATTTGCTCTCTTTCAGGTTTTGATATTTGAATGTTAGAGGAAATGAATAACCACAAGTACAATAATTTACTTTACTCCTATTTACAAAATCCTGTCTTCTTTTTTTCAAAATTTATTACTTTTTTCTGTGATTAAGTGTTCATTATTAAAGAAAATATGTTTTAAATCGCTAAACCTAATTACAGAAACATTCTGCAAATATGCTTAAGCATCAAATAACTTTCCAATGACATTCTGATATTCTTGACACTGATATTGGTTATTCTTTTGTTTTTGAAGGATTTCTGTTCAGTCAGATGTTTTATTTATTGTCTTGAAATATATTTATTGTTACAAGTAGTCTAAGCTGAGATAAAATCCCTCTTATTTAGATTTTGAATAATAACTGGTTTGTTTTAAAAAAGACTTGCTGACTGACTTGACTAATTTATTATTTTTTCCCTTAAAATAGTCACAGAAAGTCAGGTGCACTATAGATCTGTACCTGGGATTTGGGAGACATTCCATTTTGCCAGAGAGGAAAGTACAAGCCCATGCTTTAATGTAATCTTAATGAAGACTCTTTTAATAATTTCTCTGTATGCTCAAAGTTCTTTTGATGTTGTTTTTGTTGTTGATTTTTAGGTACTAGCTGTCCACTAAGCTGTTGGGCTTGGCAGTAAGGGACAGAATTCCCATTCCTTTTCTTGTACAGTCGAAAGATGTACTTGATAGGACATAATGAATCCCTAATTTGTTTGGAAAATTTAGTTCTTTTCCTGTCTCACCTGCTTTGGCGTTAAAGTGTGTATGCCTATCTATTCTGTTGTTGTAAGTCTAAGGTTTTGCAGGTGTAAATCCATCGGATTCTAGAAGTGGTTTTAAAGTTTTATGCTCTACTATATAGCGATAATTCTTAGGTAGTTGTCACAATATCAATTGCTCCAGCTGTTCTGAAGCCTTTCCAGAGTCACAGACAAGTACATTAAATTTAATTGATATGGAAATATTTTTCACCAGCTACATAACTCACTCTTTCAGATAATGTAAAACAAAAAAAAACCCCAAAATTCATAGTGAAGCTTTAATGAAAACTCCTCTGTGCATCCTTTTATGTGAATGGGCAATGTCCACCTGTTTTTCAACATTCCCAGCAAGACTGTGGTATTGTTAAAGACTGATGTGTTCTCCATATCTAAACCATTTATATGAATAGTATAAATTTAATATAATACTTAGGAGTGTGCATATATGGATATGTGTGTATATTTATCTATATCTGTTCTATTGTTTCTATCTTCTACTTACGTAAAAATTAGGGTCACTAAGACAGTAAAACCTGATTAGGTTGTCCCAATGCCCTGACCCAATATAATTGTATGCTTCCCTCCCTCTGTGATCTCTGGTTCTTTTCTGGCTTCCATAACCCATTTTTTAAAAAAAAAAAAAAAAAAAAAAAAAAAACACACAAAAAAACCTGAGTATAGCTGTCAACTATAAACTGTCAGTTTATTCATTTTCACACAGAATTCGGTGTCTGAGCCTTCTAGTGCTGAGAAGAGGAGATAAAATTTATATGTGCACTGCAAGAAGCAGAGCTTGAGAAAAACAAAGGTTTTGTTATTGTGCAAAAATTCTGGCATCTTTGGTTACAACAGACAACAAGAGATCTCTTCCCTCGCTTACAAAGATGTTGCAGGTGTTGAAACTATTTTCTTTGCACAGATGTGAGCCATCAGCCTAAAAACCAGACTTCTTGAATAAAAATCAAAGAATTCATAACATTAATTTTTATGTTCATCAACATTAGAATGTCTCTAATGTAGCACTCGGGGATATGTTGCTAAGATTTAAATCCAATTGTTTGGGTTCCAGTAACAGGATAGCAGTTGCAATACAGAATAAAATTTAAGAACTTTCCCCACACATTTATTTATTTTTCAGAGGGTGTGAGTTATGATTTATGGTTATTACTGAACTGAAAATATTCTGTATAGGATTCAGTTAGAAATGGAGTAATTAATTTAGTAAAAATGTAACTCAAGTCTTTCTGCACTACACTTTAACACAGCCATATCTTCAAATAAATCATTAAATACACTGTGCAGTGCAAATCCATGGTAGACTTCCTGAAGTAAGGAAGACTAGGAAAAATCTAAGGAAAGATTTGGAGAGAATGACTGAATGAAGGGAAGTGCAACGCAGAAAACAAAACAGAGAAATTAAATTGATTAGAAGAGTTGAACAAGGAACAAATATTTGCTGCAAATCTATAGCCAAACAATTAGTATAATAATGTAGAACATGATATTACAGTATAGATATCTTTAAGAACCTCTTAAGAAACATGTAATGTCTTTTGTCCCTACTGATTCAGGAGCACTGACGAAGACTTTCCTTTGATTGTTCTAGACAATTTGAATAACAGAAGATATCTTGTAACCTTCAGACCTACTATAAAATTTTGAATTTATTTCAAAACATGATTTGTGCCTGCTAAATTTGGTAGGCAAAATTTTGAATGGCTCAGTAAAAAATAAAAAGCTCCCTTTTTCTCCCTGCTTTCTTACTGTCATTTAGTATGGATGGCTACAAGGATAGTTAAGATACACATAGCATATGCAGAATGGGGACAATGACCCAAACTTCTTACACCACTCTGCCCTTGTAGCACAGAAGCCAGAGAATTTTCAGCCTAACACTCTAGCCAGAAAGATGTGAGGCAGTTAGAATTGAGAAAGCTGGAAACTCTGGAAGCCTGAAGTAAAGCAATCAAATAATAGAAAACCTCACAAATTGTTTTAAAAGAGGGAAATGAGAAAGAATCATGGATAACAGAGAAGAAAGCATAGAAATTAATTAGAGAAGAAAGCATAGAAACTAATTCTAGGAAAAGACTGCAGAATTGTTGGACATTCAATGAGAATGGATTTTGTATTAAAAACATTGAACCTTTTATTTTACTAGGCAGCTAATCATCTACTCCTCAGTCTTTCTCTAAATAAATAAATAAATTTCATATATATATATATATATATATATGTAAAGGGTCAATAGCAATGACACTTAATATATTCCCTGTTTTTTCCTAATTGCAAATCCTGAGTCAGCAGTGATATTGAGAAGACTTTTATTTGTAACTGTGTGCAACGTTTTATGTAAAATGATTACACAGTGCTGTAGGGTGAAGCAAAAGCATTACCTTGTCAATTTATAGCACATATACCACAGGAAGAGCAATGACCTGTTGGAGCCAGTCCAGAGTAGGGCCTTCAGGATGATTAAAGGAATGGAAGCACCTCTTCTGTGAGGAAAGCCTGAGTGTCTTGGGTTTTCTCAGCCAGGAAAAGAAAAGGCTTCAGGGTGACCTAATTGTGGCCTTCCAGGTCCTAATGGGGACCTACAAAAAATGGAGAAGGACATTTTGCAAGGGCATGTAGTGACAGGATATGGGGGAAATGCTTCAAACTGAAATAGAGTAGGTTTAGATTATGCATTAAGAGAAAATTCTTTACTGTGCAGGTGGTGAAGCACTGGAATATGTTGCCCAGAGAAGCTGTGGTTTCTCTATCCCTAAGAAGGTTCAAGGAAAAGTTGGGTGGGGCTTGGAGCAGCCTGTCTAATGGAAGGTGCCCCTGTCCATGACAGGGGGTTGGAGGTAAGTGATCTTTAAGGTCTCTTCCAACCCAAACCACTCCGTGATTCTATCACTCTATGAACATACAGTTATCTTCTCAAAAACTTAAGCCCTTTTAAATCCTGAGTATTCTTTTCCAGAGGAGTTCAGGATTCTTCATGCTATATTACATATATATACTCCTATGTATTAAATGGCCCCTTGCAGCCTTTTTAATAATTATTCATAAAACTCATCCCTTTAAATACATTTCTTTGAAGAAAAGAGGGAAGCACTGCATGCAGCAAATCTCAGCGGATCTTAACTGATCTTTTTTGCAGGAGGTCCATTTCTCATTATTTGATGACTAAACAGAGTCTTGACACCAAAATAGGCACAAGGTCAGTCTGTAATTTCTGACCTCCTGTAAAATATCATAATTTTACAGTTTCTTATGGATATCTAGAGGTTCCTGAATATCAAAATATGACATTTTCTTCCCTCCTGCTAATTGAATATTTTAGTAATTTCAACATACCTTGGATTTCAAATGTGAATATTAATGCACATTTTCTTTTGCAGGAAAGGTACATAAACATTATATGTATGTATATGCATGTTTACTTCAATTTCTGTTTTAAAAGATCTTTTCCTAAATCTAGCTGAATGCATGGAACTAGACAATTTTGGATTTTTTTCTGCATCAGAACACATAGCATGAAATCATAATGTTTTCTCAATGTATAACATTTTCTTTTCCCCTGCTCTTCCCCATCTGCAGGCATGACCTAATATTCCCCAAAAATAAAAAGACTTTGTCAAATTCACTGGGTATTTTATTGGCAAATATATTCAAAGAAAGGAAATTAAAAATCAGACATATGGATGATATATTTGAAAACTTAGGGCTTTTTCCCTCATATAAAATATTATCTGGCTGCCATCTATAAGCATATTTAATATGGATGATGAAAAATGAAATAGAAATTGTATACTTCAATTCTTTAATTTTCACAATGGTTGTGGAATGGTTCCAGCAGCTATAACCTTACAGGAGTGTGATCTTTTCTAAATCCACAAGTGTAACAGAAATTGTGTGCACATCTTGACAGCATAGAAAGAGGTAAGTGGTACTAGCCTACATGGTTTCCCACTCAAGTTCCTCTCATATCATAATGTTTTCTCCAAATTAACATTACTTCATTGTGTAGTTACCTTTTGCATTGTAAACTCAATTTAGCAAGACTGAGATATTTTTTCAATTATATTTGACCTAGAAGATAAAAGTACATAACTTTTTTATATTACATAAAAGACATAAACTATTCTATATCCCAATTTATGTAAACATAAATTGTTGTAGAATAGATACAGTACATAGAATGTTAGGTGTCTAAGTATATAGAGGCTATAATTCCAGATATTTCCATTTTGAAACAAGGAATTTGCATGGAGTTGTCTATAGATTTCCTAAAATTAATCTGGAAAAGAGAACAATTATTGAGGAATTAAGGGAAGTATAAATTAAATTAAAACATAATCTATAAAGTATTTCAGATATAGAAGTTAAAATTTATGTAAGCAGAAATGGCAGAGCAGCAGCATGCACTCCTCATTCAGGTTGCTACTTAGCAGCATACATCATGTGGGTTTCCTGAATGACTCCTGAGATTGTACCAAATCAGGAGTAAATTATTCATTGGCATGCATTTTGGAGATTGGTCTCACGTGACTTACAAGCAATAGTTCTGATTAAAAAATAATAAGGAGAAATGAAAGGAAGAGTCTTCATAGCCATGACTCTCAGATTCTTTTTTTGGTGCTCACTCAGAAGCGTTTTTATAAACCTAAATTGCCCAACTACACTAAGCATGCAATGAAGCAAAAGCGGATCATATACCCTTAATTCCACTTTGTACAGGTAGTTACATCACCTTGAATAGAATTCATTTTAACCTGCAGCCAGCTTACTGCTGTTACTTGGGTATATTATCCTTTCAAAAGATAAAGCTATGTTTCAAAGAAATAGAGCAGTTAGAAGATGTGTAAAACTTATGGTCTTTCAGCAAACACAAAAAAAGATTGCAATATAATAGCTATTGTTAGAGTAACAGTAACACTAAATACCAACAAGGAAGCCAATGGAACTTTTTTATTAGATATTGCTTATTCTGTATTAAAACAATGTGTAACACAATGTCTGGCTTTTTCATGCTTTATTTGCCTTTTCTTATTGACAGTTTGTTTTTTCCTATATTGGTTGCTAACAACACTCAACTATATGCAAAAATGAAGAAATCATGAAGTCTGAATGAAGAGAAGTTCAGCTTTGGCACCACAAAGAAAATGTTTATACAGTGCTTACTTACCCATCAGCTGAAGTTTGACTAAATCCAGCAGAAGGCCAGGCAAATATGTTCCTAAAACTTTAATATGTGCCACAAGGAAATTGAGTATGCCATTCTCCCCATCTTCTAGACACCTGCCTCTACTTATTTTGTAATAAAATGTGAAATTGCTTACTTATGAATCCATAACAATGAAAAGGAATTCCACTAGAAAAGTAAAGAAATTTTCACTTTTGACAGAAGCTTTTTGTTCTAGGGAAACAAAATCAAAAAGAATAATTTGATACATATTGCTTATTTAGATAGATATAGCCCATACAGTTTAAAATCTGAAGTTACTTATAAGATTTCTTGGAGTAACATTATGCACAGAAGCTTACTAATAATGCTGTTGACAGAAAATTACTTATAAGTTCAAATGGAATACTAACACTGTGAAATGCTGTTCTCATAATCACTATACCAGTTAATCATTGTTGCCAGGAACAAACAAACAAATAAACAAATGAGCCATTTAAGTAATTTGATCGGCTTAGAAACATTTGATATCTTAATGCTACTGACTTAGAAATCTGTAATGGAGCAATGTTCTCAAAAACATGATGAGAAAATCTGGTGCAAGGTAAGTTAAGCTATTTTAAGTTACCAGACTTCTGAACATTTAAAATTAACTTTATGAAAACTTTAAAAACATGGGGTTTAGAACTAGACTTGGAAGAAAAAAGTTGAGCTCTTCTCAGAAACTTCATAGAAAATTAGTGAATTGGAGATGCTAAAATATGCTTGCCAAAGTATTCCTTGAAACATTTAAAAAAAACACCCCCCCCACAGATAAACAAAATCAATAATAAAACTAATTTTTTAAATTATGAATGATTCTATTTTTGATTGGTTCAATCAATTTAAAAAACAAGAGTAATAATTAATTACAAAACTAGAAGTTAGTAATTCTTCTGGCAAGAGGGATCTTGAGCAGGCCATATTTTGAGGTGCAAACATGTCCTAAAGTTGTTATAAATTTTATGTGACAACTTGTATATAGACATTAGCATGGACATTTATTTGCACGGAAAAACTCATATGACACTGTGCATATGTGCACAAATAGTATCTTAAGAGAAAAAAAAAAATAAGTGGGATGTAATTAATCAAAATAATTTGAGTATAAAAATAAGATCCTTTCTGTAATTTGCTCAATGGCATTACATACATCTGGATCTCTCTCCCATCAAAAAAGAAGACACTTAAGAAACCAAAAGTAATGATGGAATTCACAGTACATGGTTTAGTACAAAAACTCTTGCAGTCACAGAAGTACACATAGATTTTTTCTTCCCTATGTAGAATTCCTAAAAAGGTTCGGAGAGTTCTTAAAAATAAAAATTCTAGACCATTTTTAGGCTGTATGGTCTTAGAAACTGTGAGAGGTTTTTTAAGAAGTAGAAACTAATACTATAATGCTCTACTAATTCTCTGATAATACTTTTTTGGGTCTAACTGTGAGATTCAAATAACTCCGCTCTGGCATTTACTAATCTATTCCACTCAAACTATTGAAGGACTGATATAATAAATCCATACTAATTTTCATTGACTGTAGATATAAAGAACACATGTAGATTAATATAATTAGATTAATATAAGTACTAAAAATTACTCGGTCTGTACTGTAAACACGGCTTGTCCTCCTATGAGCTGTATTGGTTTTAAGAGATTTCAGGTACTGTTCATTAAGATGAAAAGATAATATGCTTTAGTTCTGTATTAAGTTTCATATGACATTTTGAGTAAGAGGCTAAAATTATAAAGAATCACCATATTGCATGTATTCAGAAGCCGGATTTATTGAGAGAACCTATGAAGGATTGTCACAAATTCTGTTTCAGTGGCTTTTTTAAGTCAAGAATGTATTAAAAAAATGTATGCTGTATTTTAATATGCTCCATTTCAGTCACATTTACTTCAACATGACGTACCACTTAATTCACTGAAGTCCTGTGGCCTGTATTGTGTCACATATGAGACTCGATTACACTGTTTCTTCTGGCTTTATGACATATGAATCCATTAATATCCGCAGAATTAAGCAGTTTTATGTCTGCTAGTTAAAGGCGCGTGACTGCATTAAAGGAGGCTAAAAAGTTGCCATATTTCAATGTAAAATTATTTCTAATGAACTCTTTACATAAGTAAAGATAATAAATAGAGCCTTTAGAAAGATGAAACCTTCAGCATACCTTCCCAAGCTACTTAGCAGGAGAACTGACTAATTTGGAAGCTTAGTGGCACCAGTTGCTCCCAGCGGCAATCTGCCTCTATTCGGGAAGAATCCACATGCATAAAAAAATTACCATGATGATACATTGATAATCTAAGTGTTAGCATGATTAACTATTTCACTTGTTTGATTTGATTTTCATTGCATATTTACTTCTTCATTAAATCTTTCTTTTCTCTCAAATCACCTCATTATTATATAATTATTCAAGTAAATTACTACAAATTTACTGTATATAATTGGTTTTTTTTAGTACCCTGATGGGTTATATGTCAGAAACACTGGAAATAGAGAAGATCATAAAAATAAGTGAAAAATTTAATCTAAATTTTGTGTAGTAATTCTTCAACTACTATTTCCACTGAAATTACATGTAGTGAAACCTTCAAAAATGAAAATATATTTCTTTTATCCAACCTGTTATCTTGTTTATTTTGCCTCTGAATGTTTAAATATTTTCAATGGAAACATTTTGCAACCATCTGGTTCACAGGTGGCAACAAATTTCAGTTAAATAAACATTATTATATTCTTTCTGTTCAAAGTTCAGTCAAGCTCCAGAATTAATACACTTCTTTAGTGAAATAATACAGAAAATAATCAATCTACATTGATTTGGTATGGCAACAGTAGGGTGGAAAAGAGTATTAGTTATTCTACCATTTTTTCCATTTGCCCACTTTCTCATGTCTTACATTCTGTCATCCTTTTTTTTTCTGTTAAAAAAATATACTGTCAAAACCAAAGAAACAAACCCAAATACAAGAGAAAAAATGACCCTAAATATAAACAATAAAAGACACAGACACAGGAAAGATCATCTATTATTTTATTTTTTCCTCTTTGTCATTAATCACTCCCTTTTAAATCCTTGTATTTATATATTATTTTTCAGAGCAATGATCTGTATTAATGCCTGTGAAACATTTAATAATAACAAATAAATAAATAAATAAAATAATTTGGAGAATTCAATGAATTTTTGGGAAAAGGTAACTCACCAGATCATCAATTTGTGCATCTGCATTTAGTTGGTTATGTGTGACTGCATAGATATTCTTCCATTGCATTGAGTGGAGGCCTGGTTGAGTGTTTGTCTGAAGACTTTTTTAGACTAGCAACCAATGCTTGATTGCTTTGATGTTGGCTCAGCTCTTGCTTGCACTCTCTGAATTGATAAAGTCTCCAACAACCATAATGGGAACTTAGGGACCTCCCTCCTGTATTTCCACCTAAAGTGCAAATCTAAAGTTAGACAAGATGAATCCCACACACAAGAATTTAAAAAGAAGTAATGTTCTTTCATGTTGACTAAATATTTTCAGTAATGACTCTCATGCACTGAAAGTGAATTGTACAGGTAATGTTATTTAAATAATATTTCCTTTTCTGGTGGAATAATAAGCTAGGAACATTCATTTACATTAATTCAAATATTAAGCTACAGTTTCATATAGTGTACTGAGGCTATTACCTGAGTACTGTAGTTTTTTATCAATTTTTTCTCTGAGCCGTAGTCCAGCTGGAAAATTCTCACCTGGGACTGCTCTTCTAAAAGCTCCTCCTGCAAATGGCAGGGTTTCTCTTCTGTCTAGCCAATCCCTTCTTCCAGTTTTTCTGTGATTTGCATGCTTTTTTAGCTTAAAACCAGTTTAGATTACATGGTATCATTTAGATGGAAAAGCTTTCATTCCTGCAAAATATTTCTTTTTCTAAAAGTATCCGGTTTAAGGCAACATTTTATTGTATTGTTCCACTTATCTCAATGCTTTCTTTCCTGTGTATTAATTACAGGGATGAAAAGCATAAGCACTCAAACTACACTATTTTTACACAGCTGTGTTGAGTCAGAAGTAAAAATGAATAAACAAACAAAAAAGACATATCTCTATATAAATACATATGCAGAGAAGGGGAGGAAGAGAAAACTAGTTTTCTTGAGTTTGCATGGCTTTATCAATAGAATATGAGTTTAATCCAGACCTACAGAGTGGGCAAGAAAAATACAGTAGAGTAAAACAGTAAAAATTGTCAGAATGTGTGCATTTTTTCCCTTTAATAAACACCAAGTAGCCTGTTGCCTTTCTCATGGAAAGAAAAATTTTGAAAAGGACTGCCTTTTTCTCATGAACTCTCATATCCTACAGAGAGTTTCTGTAGAATAGGTGGCTCCTGTGGATTCCCATACTCATTTGCTGTTATAAATTGATCTTTTTCATGTTCCTTTATTCAAATGGTATTGTTCTTTTTATCTTTGCTGATACCTAAGACCCTTCACTATCTTGTGCTCCAAAGTCCCAATCTATAAAAATCAGTTTTATTCCCCAATAAATACATAAATACACATGCATCTGTACAAAATTCTAGTAATCTTTTTAAAAAATGGCTTAAATTATACATCCTTAGCAAAATATAACATCTCTGAATGTAAATTGCTAAATAACAGTTAGGTGTTACCACCACAGCTATTGTTCGTGCATTCTTTAAAATTTGTAATTTTTTTTCATCCAGAAATATCATTAGGTATTAAATATTGCACTACTTTTCTCACTCCAAACTGAAGGCTTCCCCCACCCCTGGTGGATCAGGACTGCAACATCGCTTTGACCAAGAGACCTCAAATTTCAACAATCAGGTCTCTTTTCTGGATCCACAGGTGGTGATTCTATACCTTGTTACTTTTATACTTTCTTTCACTTTTTCTCCTTTTTTCTTATGCATTTTCTCAAGTTAGCTTTGTGCTTTTTATTATTGATTGTCTAACAAAAATGGCTGCATTTTGAACTTGCCGAGTACTTTGTTTTGCCTTAAATATTCTAAATTTTGGAAGTAAAAGTTTGATACAGTTTGAACCACCCAAGAGTTTTGTTGTTTTTCCTTTGTGCCACTCAGAGCAAATCAAGTAACCTTCCCTTTAAAGCGCCAAGCGAAGTGGGCCACAACAGCTGCAGAAACAAACAAACAAACAAACATACTCCCCACGAAACCAAAACAAAATCAACCAAGCCTCTCACAAATTCCATTCATTTTTTATAGGAATTGAGTTGGCTAACAGTTGTCAACACTACAATCTACAAGAAAATACTCAAGTTTGGTGAAAAGTCTATAACAAAAAGGATGGACTCAGTATTGTCATGTCCTACGATAAAAGTTTCTACTTCAAAGCATTCAAGTGTTTTTTTGCAGGCCAAAAGTTCTTTTAGCCTTAAGAAGGGCTCTCATGTAATCTTAAGGGTTACCAGACTTAAAAAGAAAATTTATATTGCCATTATGAGTTCTGACAACTGAAATATCCATCTGAAAGGGAATTCCAAATTAATGTAAATCAATTAACTTAAAGGTAAAATCAAACAGGACTATGGCACTCTCTCAATCCTCCTCTTGGTTCTAGAAGAAAGTCCTCGCTGTTGCAGATCGTACTGAAGACAGCAATAGATGACAAATTCCAGTCCATTCCTTATAAATATCTGAATACAATTTTGAAAAAAAAATTAATGAAAAATAACAAGATTATTTCCCAGCTTTAGAAAATTATTATGAATTTTTGCATTATATTGATGATGTTTATCCTTGAAGGGCTAATAAATAATTCTGAAAAGTATAGGCAAGGCAGTATTATTTTTACCTCAAGGTTAAATTTTCTTCATTAGAATTTGTTATGTTCAATTTCAGTTGATGTCTATGAGAAAAAAATCCTCTTCACACTCGCCAGTTTCAGCAAGCTGATGTCATAAAAAAAACTTCAGTTTTTGTAGCTTCATTGATTGTCAGGGTGCCATTACAGTTGTCTATTATTCTTCCACCTACCACGAAATTTTCCATTATTGGACATGGTTTTGAGTTTCCTAGAGCTTTGCTCAGCTTCATCTGTTTGGATTGAAATTTGTCTTTCTGGGTTTTTGCTCAAGGCCAAATTATCTTGAAATGTGTAAATGAAAATTTTATCTATATTTCTAAGGAAGATATTAACAAATAAATACATGAAATAATGTGCATGGAGAGAGTGTGCACTATCATCTGTCTAAGTTCTACATCTATTCTGCTGAAAAGTTCTTGTCTCCTAAGGTCAGTGCTGTGCTATGGCCCTTACTTATCCTGGGTTTTTTTTGATACCTTGTGGCTTCCCTGCTAGAGAAACTACTGCCAAATCTTAGTCTGATCTGATTAAGTCAGAAAATACAGAATACCGAGCAAGGAACCCCTTCACAGGTGATCCTTCTGAAAAATATTCATATAAAAGAGGTGAATCCAATTTTACTTTTAAGTTGGGTGCCTCTTGAATTCTCTTTGACTTGGAAGCAGGCTCTGATGCTGATTTTACTTTAAAAAAACATTAGTGTGGCAAATTCAAATATTCAGCATTCCAAATACATCAGAATTAATGTTGTCAAGTGTAATAATGTCTGTCTAACATATGTAAGCATATTTACATGTTTTTAGATTTATAATTTGATAATATGCTTTCCTTTAAACACCCAATTTGTATTATGTCTTTTATCAATTAGCGGACAAATACTTAAACATTTTGATTTCTTTTAATTTATCTTTTAGTGTATAAAGTACAATATTCAAGTGTTGATATGGATGAAAAAATATCTTTCACTTTATCTGAGTTTCCAAAACCTACAAATTAATACTCATGTAATTATTTTTAAAAATCATGGACACTCCACAAAATAATTAAGTCCAAAACAAGACCCTGGAACGAAATTCTAGTCCATTCAACGGCAAATTATGAATCTGCAGCCTACAGCTAATGTCTCTATACAGCAGCTTACGTGACTTAAAGTGAGAAACACAGCTCACATTGTGACACAACAAAAAAGACAACATAAATAAAGCCACTGATTTTAAACCCAATGGTGTCTGAGTGCTTCATAAATATCAGCATACATGATATGAGAATACATCTCTATTATCATTTTATGCATAGGCAGCTGAAGTAAAAGGATTTGGGAAAATGGGGTAAAAGATAAGGAGCCTCACATTAAACAAAAATAAATTGTGAAATGCTTTCTATCAGAGCTCTCATTTGGGATATACGACAACAGAGAATAATTTCTCCTTTATTTTGAACTAACCATTTGAACTAACATTATTCCATGTTGATCTAAAAGGAATTGGTCTCCAGACTTTCTTGTAAAGCTTTCCCCTTTTCATAGGCAAGTTTAGCAGTTATTGAATCACTCAGAGACAGAACAGCTTGCATGTGCTCAGGAGTTATTGTCCTAAATGCAATGAGAATGACCTTGGCACAAACTCCCAGTCAGAGACAGTTCACAAGTGAACCTTGTTTTCTCATGTCTCTTCTTAATTCTTATCTGTAAGGACTTTTAACTGTTCAAAGCAAATTAACATTGGCCACAGAAATTCTTGGCAAAGTTCAGTTTGCTACAGATCAGACAGCAGCATCTCACACTGGATATTCAGAAAATTTAGAGTTAGTATCTTCATTGTGTCTAAAGGAAAGGACAGGAAAGTGTCTAAGTCTCCAGTTGTCTTCATCGCTCAATGACATTTCTTTTCCTAGAGTTTTCTTCTTCATCAGCTATAAAACTTCCTATTTAAAACAAACAAACAAACAAACAACCCAAATAAAAATAGGAGGAAAGATTCAATTTATTTCAATATATGTCCTTGATCACTGCTTTTCCTGTGGTATTAAGCAAATGTCATGGTAAATCAGAGAATTTTGGCATACAAATCAGGCATTTTTAGAAAATAAAAATTTGAAAATAAAAAGCTGCTCATCTGAAGTTGCAAAGTTCGGGGGTTTTTTTAAATCTATTAATTATGAATAAGGCAAAGAATTAACTTTGAAAGAAAACTTTGTTTACCTACAAAATTGTAGGGTTATGAAAATTTCTGGCTCAGCTAAAAAAAAAAAGGCAAAATAAAGTGTTTCAACCACATGCACAGAACCACAGGTTTAAAACTTTGCAGTATTTTTAAGTCATAAGTCATAACCTATTTTTCTTTTCTTAGTACGCTGCATCTTTTAAATATATGCTTCATTTCTTAGTCATCTGGCCCTGTCCCATGTTGGAATTGCTCCCTGCTGTTAATTAGAGGTGACCATGATTTGATTAATCTCAAACATGTGTTATATATGCACACTATGGAAAACTGTATTCTAAATTTTCTACTTTAAACATTTTTGAGTGTAATGGAAACAAGCCAAACATTTTTTAAGGACCTAATCTTATCTTAATGAACAATATGGATATGATCAAAATAAGACATTCTAATCCTTTTAAAGTGTTAAAAGTTCACAGAAATATGCACTAATCATGTACAGTATTTATCAATGTAATACAAACAAGGTTTCAAATGCATACCACCTGATCATCATTGCTATCTTTAAATCTGAAGTTCTCTCCGTTTAGACAAAGGTTTGTAACAGTTTGACAATGTGCTTTACCTGACCTCACATTGTTGGTATGTTACCCATGTAGACATTTTTGAAGACATTAGCCATAGTTTTTTATACCTAAAGATAGTCAAGGATGGTGATAATATTTCCTTATGATTTTACACAGCTCTTGATATTGAGGGGTCTTTAATGCCTAGAGAACAAATGTAGGATTTTTTTTAAGACAGGATAATTCATATTTTAAATTTTGGGGATAGTGATTATACAGGTATAAAAGAAAATTTCACTATATAAGGAAGGCTAAGCATATTGTCTTGGTTTACAAGCATCTGTAAAGACCACTACTAAATAGGAAGTTTTGAATATTTTATGTCACGTTAATATAAATGCCTATGCATTTTTGTGCAAATAAAAGTACTGAGTATTAACATAAGTTCACTAAAATATTTCCTCCAGCTATTCAAAAGGTATTATTTTAACAAGTTAAATATAACAATTTTACTTTTTAAAAATGACAATTATTTAATTTGCTGGTTCAATTTTTTTCTTATAGAACTCCACTGTTATTAATATACAGCCTCCAGTGGTAAGTGAAATATAATTCCAACTAATTTTCCTACAGCTGTATACAAATCAATAACTGTAAGAATCCCAGAGGAAAAGCATGTGGTATGGTCCTCCAAGTTCCTAATGAATGCAAATAAGCTGACCTTTCTTTGACAGCTATGAATATGGTTTTTCACAATTTTACCATTGAAATTGCTGTAATCAGCAATTCATACAGCAAAATCGAGCCAATAGTGCTTGTAAATAATTATGCATTACAAGAAGGTGCATGGTACAGTTACCATAGCGAACAAACTTCATGATTTTGGGAATCAGTTACTCTAAAGTATTTTATCAAAGAAGATCTTCTAAGAGAAAATAAATGCTCACTTTACTTTTTTTTTCTTTTTTAATATATTTTCTATATCCTTGAAACACTCTAGTTTTAGTGTTCCTTTTTTATTGTTTAAAATACAAATACTTGGATTATTAATTTCCAACAATAGCACCATTTTGATAGGTGGGATAATGAGCCTGAAAGTAAAGGAAGATCACGGTCAAAAATAAAGAAAAAAGAAGGATTCTTCATTTTAAAGGGATAATATATCTATGAAAATACAGTGTTTCTCATACAATTATGTAATAAAACAGTGAATGAAAACAACATATTTGAAACAATGAGCTACTGTAGTACTTCCACCTCCAGTATTTCTTTCACACAAATACTCTTTGAATAGTGCTGACAAAGTAATGTATAAATAAAAGATATTTTAACACCTATTTTAAAATGAAAATTCCATATAGGTTTAGGAAAAACTGAAATTTGAAGCACTTGCATTGTAGTTTCCACAGAATAATTAAAATGTCTGCAAAAATAGTATTTCAAATAGAACTGAAGAAATAGCACTTACATTAAACATGTTAATTACAGGTGCATGTTGATCTTTGAAAAAAACAAAAATATCAAAAAAAGATAAAAATTACAATATTCTGGTTCTTTATTCCTATTTAGCAAAAACTTGAAATACTTATGGCTGGAAAGTAGCAGCCTCAACTGAACACCATAATAATTAAGAAGATTAAAATTCCCCTAGTTTTGAAGACAGAGGTTACTGAAATCTTAGAACTAATTTCATTGAAGTCATTAGTCGTATTTTTTTTTCAATAAGTAAATTTCTCTTTTAATAAGCTTTGAATGCTCAAAGATCATAGCAGGATATCAAATCATACTATGCTTATATAAAATGTCTGATATTTTAAAAGATCGGTCCTTCCTTGATGACATTTCCTCAGGATTTCTACTCTCATAGTCGTAATTCTTTCATGTTCAGAATGAATCCCTGCTACCTCTCACTCAATATTGATCTTCAAGGCATTTCTTCCAATCCTCTCCCCAGTGTGGTCACTGAACAGTATAAAAGTTCAATAGGAAGATCAGCTGCTCATCCACTTTTTGCTAAAACAATTTGTATTATGGATTTATTTTAGCAGTCTACAGTGGCAGTTGCTGTTTTTACTATTTAAATGCTTTGATTATCTGACCTTGCTTACTTTATCTTTTTAAGTGCTGTGCATGGGCTTTAAAGTTGATCAATAAGTGGGGATTCCACCACCACATTATGTTGAAATCAATCCTGATTCAGACTATTTGTATTTCACTCTTATGAGTCCATCTGTCTTTCTTAATTTTATATTCTCTTTTCTTAAATAATTTTGTCTGCCACTGCAAATACTTACTGTCAGGTAGATTTCCATTGCAATCAATTCAGCTTTTCTCAGTCATAACTATAGTGTCTGGGAGGACTCAAATGTGTAGGATCATATCCTATTCTTGAACAGATATTAGGTTTTTGGTGGGTTTTTTTTGGTTTTTTGGTGGTTTTTTGTTTTTTGTTTTTGGGGTTTTTTTTAAATATTTGTACCATAGATAATTTCAAAGTCAATAAACACAAATTTTTATTTACTTAATGTCTTAGTTTTTCCATTAATAGTTAGAAATTAAAAATCAAAATAAATGGCACAAGCTTATTAAAATACTTCAGATTTGCAATTTCTCTTAGAGAAAAAGATAAAGTAATGGAGTCAAGCAGCCTTCAGCTATATCACAATAAACCTTAGAATTGACTGATTAAAACTGGGAACTATAATTAGTCCTGAATTTGTGCAGTGTAAAAAAATGCTCTAAGAAACATTTTGTTATATTTTGCATCTAATTTATTTAATAAACACTTAAAACATTTCAAGTTTTTTACTTCTTAAAAGTTTTTAAATTTGCCTTGCCTAATTCGTAATGAAAAGGTTACCACAACTGTAAGAAGTCTTAGCATGGATATATCAAAATAGAAAGGAAGAAAGAAACTATATAGAAAATCTAGAAATTCAGTTAACATGATATGTACAGTCCTAGGCATTTAGGGGATTATCTACCTAGAACACATAAAACTTACTGAAATACTACTCTAATGTTATTTAATATCTCAACAAATGTTCAGAAGAGGGAATACCATTTCCCTGTTCTTTAACTAAATCATACACACAAACACTAATTTGGATTTCTATTAAATTTACCTAAATTAAAATACAGTCAGATATTTTGAAGATTTCCTGTAATCCTACATCACAATTCAATACTTTTATAATACAACATCGCAACTACAAAACAAAATCATAAGTGATCCTTAGAAAAGTTTTCATCTTCAATCTTAGAAGCTTGTGAACAGCTTTTCACATATTTATAGGGTAATTGGTTTCACAAAACTGTGAAACTGTGACTTGCATTCACATATGTTTGAAATATTGGAGCCTAGAATGTGATTAAAATCTGATACTGCTATTAATCAGTTTGCTAAATAATGCATTAATTTTCCATGCATAGGAAGAAACTTACTTCAAAATTTCTAGTTCTTCACTTGATTGAGACTAATTCTACTTTATCTAGGACCAGAGGACACTGAGGTCTTGAGAAAATTGCTACTTATCCTCTTTCTTTGATGTTGTTATTCTTACCTTTAAGTCCTCCACACTTTTCCTGATTCTTTGAAACAAAATAGGGATTATTCAGTCATAAGTTTGGCAATAATAAACAAAATGAACCTTTTGTGACGGATGGGAGATCTTCTGCCTCAGTTGCAGCTCCATATGGTGCACACCATCGTGTCTCTGATGAGAGGGGAAGGACAAAAGGAAACATGACCACGAATATCTTAAGCATTGTTGTAATTAGAAGATGTTAATAGCAACAAAGAATAGTGAAAGTAGTGAGATGACAGACATTTAAATCATATAAGGACCAGTGATGATGGGGTGGTGAATATTTAGCCTACAAGGCATTATTAAACTTATGTCAAAAACATGGTTCACATGAAAGTGCATAAAATAACTAAAAATAAACAGCCACTAAATGAATAAAAGGGATGAGGACTTTCACTGATAATTTTCTAAGTGCATGAAAGAGAAATGGCTTAGGAATCTAATGTACAAAGTAACCCGTACGAAAGAAACCAGCAAATATGCAACAGTTCTTTTCACAATGGCACAATGCCATTTTTGTTCTTTTCTGGTAATTAATAGCACCAGAATTGGGGAGAAAAAAAGGTTTTTGAGATTTGCTTGTATAAAACTTCAGTACATCTACACATTTTTAAAAAAATTATTAGCAACTGTACTGAAATCCGGTCCTCTCAGTAATCTTATAAGCAATTTTGGTTAATGCAGTATGTCACTCCTGAAAATGAATCAGATTTTTCTGATAATTCCTTTCAGATTTTCAAGTGAACATTTTGTCTTTCTCTTTTAAAATTTCACTAACTAATAAAAGCATAGATTTTATTATGGGGCTGTTCTGGTTTTCCTTTTAAGCAGTTCTGGAATTTGTAGATGTAAAGAGGAGGGCTGCTTTTGCCAGAAACTTATCCATTTAAAACATAAGAATGAAAATGCAAAGGAGAAATAGAATTATGAGAAGGTGTTACAAATAGCATCTATTGTGGGGGTAAGAGAGGATGTGCAACTTGTTCAATACTTACTAACATCACTTGTGAAGATTTTTCATTTTATTGTGACAGCAGAGGGGAAATTTAAAAGAATTCACTACACCAAATATTACGCATTTCTGCGGAGCACAGCTAAAAAAAGACAAGTCTGTACTGTTTCTCTCAGGTGAGTAAATGTTAAGAGAGAAGAATCCAAGTTTCATGATGCAGCAGCACAAAGCTGGGAAGTGAAAATTATGTTGCAGCAGAGTCCTGAAAATATGACTGTAAAAGTTAATCAATAAAATGTCTATTCCTGTCTATTCACTAGAGGCCCCAGCTGCATAGCTTCACACAATCGATACTACAAATTATTACGATTTCCAGGTTCCCACTGGACATTCCGAACAAATCTTTCAGGTGTAACAGGCTTATACTGGGGGGAGGCAAGCAGGGTGGAGGGCTGGGGAGTGGGACTGGGGTTGTGGTTTCCTCAGGTCTATTTCATCCAGGATAAGTACACAGCAAACAAAGCCTGTGACTTCTAAAAACTTTTAGTTGCTTCCCTATGAAATAAGTGTATTAGGGGCACCCTGTGAAATTAGCAGAAAATGAGTTTGCCCTGTTTTAAAAATAAATATTTTTATTCTGGTTAATTAATGAATATAAGGGTTGCTTATTGTTTTTAAATCCTAGTCAATCATTTCCTTTTTTCACCCCTTCCATGAAAAAATAACTTAGAACAAGGACTGCACAACAAGGAAATAAAAGCACACAGAAATGAACCTTTCCTCTCAAAGGCCTCACAACAGCTATAGCAGAATCTCAGGACTCAGGGTAGTTTTAAGTGACCAATTTATGCTGTGCTGTATTTTTCTTTGTATGGTCCTGTGCTCTCACCCTGATACCAGCTGCATTTGTCAGATTCACTAAGGAGGAAGGTAAGAAAAGTCCAGGACTGTATGACTTTGAATAAGTCAGCACCAAAGGGATGCTACTTTATGACACATGCAGTACCCTTCCTAGTGACTAAATATAACCCTTATGACATTCCCTGTCCCAAAATACCCAGGGGACAGAGATCCATTGTTCTTTCTGTTTCCCAAGGAACAGAACAGAGCAGATACTGGCTGGCACAGCATTACTGTTTTCAGGTAAACAGTATGTTGTTTTGAAAGGAAATTTCAATATTTAAATTACTTTGTTGTTAATTTCTTAGATTTATGAGGTCCACTTTACTAAACCTATTGTTTTGAATTTGCAGTTTTAAGTTTTCAGATTCAACAAATAATTTGGTTACTGTAATCCTGAAGCAATGCATCAGAGTACTTTTAAAAAGCAATGGTATCAAAAATAAATTCAAAATTTTACATAAGATTAAATAAAAATAGTTTTGATAATCTATAGAGCTAAGTGAAGGTTTTCCTTAATCAAAGTTTATTATGTTTATGCACTGCATTAACAAACTTCCAAAGCCACTGAACAACTGTAAAAAATACAAGAGCACGAAGGTCGGTTTGTTAATAATTTTTGCATGTGAAGAGATTCATTCAAGTTTTGTTTGTTCATATAAGGTATAAAAAATCTAATAAAAAGTCCTTCTGGAAAATCTTTTAATGATTATCATTTGGCCTTCTATTTCAACCTCAGTGAAACTCATTTCAGTGAACTTTTGCAAAATTCCTGCTCTCTCAAAAGCTATATTTCATGACACAATCAATCAGCTACAGCTGGGAGTTTCAATTCCACTTCCCCCCTCCTTCCCCCTATCCCACACTAAGTTACCACAATCAGTAGTCCTAGAAGTTTGTATCCTTTTTATTTACAGAGAACTATCTACAAGGTTAGGCATAACATGGCATTTTGTAAACTGAGGAATAACTTCAAATGGTTAAGAAAACCCACTATTGCAAAAGATTCAAGCTGTGTTAGGAAAGTAAATCAGTGACAGTGTTTTCCCTAGAGAAGTACTAGTAATGTCTTTAGAGATATAACTGCAGGTTGAAAACCACCAAGCTATTTTATTTAAAGAAATGAAGACACATAACTGAAGACAGTGTTTTTTCCATGAAGCTTTTCCCAGTCCTCAGTATAAATATTAACTTAAAACATTTGAGCTGAAGAACGGACAAAGTTCCAGTCTAAAAGTCATTTAGGCTAAGCATATATAATATTTTGCTTTAGATATGTGATGTTTGTTGCATCTGAATTTAGCAAGTCTTCCCCAGAAAACATTTGCTGAGGTAATATTTTATGCTTACTAAACATCTGAGATAAAACATTTAGCTCTAAATGTTCAATCCACCTCCAATTGAACAGACTTTCTTTCTGCAGCCAAATTATCTAGTATAAAGTGTTCATCATGCTCTATGATATTATGAAATGGCTTGAAATTCAGTCTGTATATAGGGATTGCTTAATGCAAAATAACTTTAATAAGAACAGAATGACTGCATGAAAAAAAGCATCAACTAAGAGAGTAATTTTTAGCATAGTCTGAATCTCAAGAACTCTAAAAATGAATCACTTTGTGGTTCAATGTAAAATATAGTTTATATTAAGCTAAATGATAGTAAATTTGACTGGTTAGAACAAAAGTACTTTTTTCAGTGTAAACTCTTTTAAAGTATACAGTTTGTATTTTTTCCTTTACGTTAAAAACTTCATATATGCCTTGCTATTGTGACTAAAAGTTCAAACACCAAATTTTCTTTAATTTGGTAGCCTCTTGCTTAGAGGCAGCTTCTCTAACAAAAAAAAAAGAAAGACAATAAGACCCATACGTAACCTTTGGTCTCTAAAAAGAGGAAGATGAGAATTCCATTAACAGATAGGTAATAAACAATTACACATACTATTCTACTTCAACGCTACAGAATATAAATTTTAAAAATAAACCAGACTCCTACTAATAGTACTTTTCAACACTCAATTTTTTAAGTGCAGCTCATATTTTAAAATACACATTAATTGATCATTTAGATTTCATAGTTTATTCAATAGAGTTACAGAACATATTTACACTGCATCATACCTGAGAGAAACAATTAATACATTGCATATTAAAAGAATTTACTGCTGACTTTAATGTCTTTTGTTTCTCAAATACCAAAAAATAAGTAACTCACTTGTAATTACTAATTTCTTCTTCAGAAGTTAGAATATGTTTTCTCAAGGTCTTCAGCTCTCCGTCTGTGATTTTCTACTGTTCTGTTCTTGGCGAACTGTTTCTGCTATTTGCTCACTTAGCTGCTCTTGAGTTGCTTTCAAGCTGGATTCCATTAGAAGAAGTTTTTTCATCTTGACTGGCAAGTTCTTTGCCTGTAAGTTAAAAAAAAAAAAAAAAAGAAAAAAAAGAAAGCTTTGCATTTTAAGCTCAAGCAGAGCAATATTTTTGTTTTAAATGCAATGCAGTGCAACCCTCGGTAAGAACTGGGCAAATACTGTTTTCAGGAGAAGAGCATCATTCCGTTCCCAGATCTTGAGAGGAAAATATGTTATAAATGTATTAAGAGCTGGCTTAAGTCTCTTTCATTGTATAACAGTAAACTTAAATAAAGAAACTTGGATTCAATATTTTGCAAACATTTAAACTGCTATCAGAGCTTACTGTATACATGCACATCCAGGGTTTCGTTCCTTCTGAAGCAAACACCTATTGCCTTTGTATTTTCCTGTATAAATCAATCTAGAATCCAAAATCACAGTTTTGAAAATAAAGCAGCTTTTATACCATTTAACAATAGTAACATGTACAATTTAATATTGAAGTCTTCAATTGCATTATATTTTTTCATGAATTACAGAGCCCATGCATAGTAAAAACCTGTTCTTTTCCAAGGTCATCCAATAGATGGCAATCTTTCCTTAGACCAAAAGAATCATAGCCGTGCACTGCCAGCTCTCAGAAAAATAAGTGATTTAAGACAAAGACATTTTTCCTTTGTTCTTTGTTGACCATTTTCCTAAAAGATATATGTACATAGGCTTTAATTTAAATATTTAGCCCTTAGTATGTGCACACATGAGTCTGTGTTAGTGTGCAGGTGTATGTGTTCCTGCCCAGACACAAATCCACATACATGTATTTGTTTTTATCCTCTTTCATAAATATATGGCTTTAGACATATAGACACATGTAGTGCACAGGTCTAGGATATTGTGGAATAAAACTAAGCCTTAAAACAAGTGCTTCACAACAAGCATTTTATAGGACACAGTTCCTTTATTCTGCAGTATTCAAATTATTTTGAAATTTGACACCAGAAAAATATAAGAAATTATGAATCTGTTAGTGATAGCAGTTCAATAAGTACAATAAAAGAGGCATTTATGTGATCATAGATTAAAATCCCTGGTTTTAATGTGCCATAATATAATATAAAAAGTGAAAATACACTCGACTTTAATGAAGTCAGAAAACAGTATTTTCCAGGTTTAGATTGAAAGAATCCCTTAAAGAAAAGCATTTGTGCTCTGTTAACATGATTCTGCATTTATTGTCTTTAATGTCTGACAACATTCACCATATGCACAGGATCTAAATTCAGCTATCATATCTTCCTTTATGAATTCAGAATATTCAGAAGATCAATTTCCTTATATAAGAAATTGCTTTGTTCTTTTCTAATTGACAGTAACATAACCTGGCTTCTCACAAAACACAGCAACAGTCACCATTTCCATGAGTAAAAGTACTGTATATGAACTGTTTAAATTTAAATTTTTGCCTCAGAAAGGTACACAGCTAACATTAACAACTAAACATTTAACAAGCAGTAAATATCACCCAGAGTTCATCCTTACTGAATACCAAGCAAATATGAATCTTTGTGAACTAATGAGTTAAACTGTTATTAGTGTCGACACATGTTTAAACAAATGTACAGCTTAAAAAACAATGTATAACCAACTTTACTTTCATATCTAAAAAATGAGCAGTGCTAGTAAAGTCAAACGTAAGCTGTCATCATTCAATAAGAATTATAATATATAGAAAAAATATATTTTCTGTGCATTTTGGACTCATTTTTGCAATATATTTTTTAATAACTTTAGTGTGGTAGATTGTCTCTCTGGAAATAATATAGCTGCTTATTTGAGTAACCTTATTTATCTGTGGGCTCCAAGTATTCAATTGGGTTTTGAAATCAAAAGAAGGGTAAATATTTCCCATGTAACGCAAACCTCTGCCATTAAAAGTGTCCCAGTTGTTGATCTGTTTAATTGTTTTTCCAGAAGACACTCCTTTATATAAAAAATGAGGTTTATTTGAATATTAAAACTTATTAGGTTCCTCTCAATTTTGTGAAATAGCGCTGTATGTATTATCCCGAATCAGACCCTTAACAATGCTTTAGAAGTTCTTAGAAGTAGTTTAGAGCTGTGATCTGTTGTGTGGAGACAGAATAATCTTCCCAAATTTATATTATTTATATCTGCTTTGATTTGTAAACCGATCCACCAACATATTTTTTGTAATTGCATAGCTATTTAAACACACACGAAGTGATTTAATCGCTACTTTTAATAATCAGGTTTAACTCACAATGTGTCCTGGTAAAAAAGGGTTAAATTATTTTAAGTTTACCTATGCCTTGGACTTGAGACTTGGTTGATCCCAAGCCAGAGGCGCTAGCAGCTGCATGCTTTATTTACAATCCCTTTGTCAGACTTACAACTGCCCCAGGCTATAACATAGTGTACCTAATGTTCAAACTGGCAGGTAATCTTATGTCAAACATACTTCTTTGATTTAAAGTGATCAATAGATTCTTGTAAAGAGGTAATTTCTCTGATGTTTCCACCTTGCCTTTCTTACAGGTGATTCACACAAAAGCCTGCTTATATGATGTACGAACAATAACCAGAAAGCTATAATCATGTTTTTTCAGATGTTTCCGGTGCACAACGATTTTGGATCAATACCCTGTGTAATACAATTATCTGCAATGATCTGGTTGTATTGAAAAAGAATTTGCAGCAGACCTCTAGGGGGTTTTATCCAGAAACACGTATCTGGCAATGTTGTGAATAGTGGAAGAGAAAATTAAGGGGTTGACACAGGCTGTCTATTATGTTCCAAATGACTTCATTAATATTTTATTTGGTAAAAGTAGTATATTTCAAGCTCTACTATACTGTGACTTCAAAATATTAATAATGCAATTTCCTTGTTGCATTTGCTTATTTTGAAAACTAGTTCTAGCGCACATGTTACTGTGAAAACCAAAAGTATCAACCAAAAATTTTTGAAGCAGTTTATTGCCCATAATGAAATGATTCCTTGTTTTTCCATCTTGTTTTGCTTTTTGTAAACTACTCGCCTAAAAAAAATACCACATGCATCAATGCACTATTGCTAAGGCTGTTAACTTATCTATACAGGGATTAATCATATCAGCTTTAAAAGTCAGCTAAAATATTAGGAATTATGTCAAACTTGTTAGGTTTAAATTGCATTTTGCTTTGCCAATGACTAAACAGGTGTTCTGGCACAGAAATAGATGTTTCACCAAATCAATACAAGGATTATAGGACAGAAATAGAACTACTGAAAAAAGAACCGGTTGTGTTTATTTTGTTTGGATGAAGTCACAGTCTGTATCTGTAAATTTACCCTAGAGCTGAACAGGGAACCTTTTATATTCATTTGATTGCAACAATCATATGCCCATATTGAAAATTCTATTCCATTAGACTGTACGAAATTCATATTTCTGTAATATTACTATTTTTGTACATTATTACCTGTCTTTCTACACTGCCTATGCACACCCTGCAGTTACTGATTTAGCTGCTGAATCTCAGTTCTCAGTATGGTGGTTGCTGTCTCTGTCTGATTCTTTTCTTTCTGTGTGTCCTGGATACTGGCTTTCAGTTTCTTGACCACACTGTCAAGGTGCTCCACCTCAGCCACTTTTGCTTTGATACCTTCCCTTGCCCGCAGGAAATCGGCTCCCGACTCTCTCAGAAGGTCATCTCTTTTGCGTATTGCCTGTGAAGACAAAAGGCATTCCAAGAGGGCCTTTCATGATGTACTTTTTATACTGCATCCTGCTATTTTGAGCTATAGGATACATGAGATTATACAGCACCTCATTAGCAATTGGGTCAAGTACCCACATCTCCTCCAGGATCAAAAAGTTACAAGGACTTTAATTTAGAAAAGTCTGTTGAAGAAAAGATTCAGTATTACAATAAATACATCATTAATCAATACTTATAAGTTCAAAGGCAAGAAGAAATATTCCATCTAATTCTGAGAGAAAAATGGGAAATGCAGTTTGATCTAAATGAATACTTTTTCTTTAAAGAAAAAGGGAAAATGTTTGATGAATAAAAAAAAAGGAGGGGGGGTACTTAATCTCTTGGTTCCAACTGCTACAGACCTCTTTCATTTGCCACTCTGGTGAATGCTGTAGGTTGATGTAGCCATACGGATATCCCAAAGCATAGGGATATCCCAAAGGAAAAAAACTACCATGCTAACTTTTTTCCCCCTATTTCATTGTTTAAGCATCTTATTGGTGTAAAAATAAACATTGGGCTCTGTTTTGTTATTGTTTAAAAATGTTATACACACTTTGGACTTTGGATTTAGAAGAGCCCTTTTCCTTAAAGCACAGTGCACTGATTTTAATTTTTATCAGCACAGTTGTGAAGTACATATTACAAGTTTGTAGGTATAAGTTTCATATCAATCACTATTGAGCATTCATGACTGACTGTGCTTTTTTGGCTTAATGCCACACCTTGATTCTCTATCATGCTCCATCATGCTTCTTTTAATCTGAATATTTAGTACTCTTTCATGTCTTAATTACAGCAAATTGCGCACAGTTGGCACCATTTCTTGAAATTAATCCCAGAGTACTTTGTTTCTGTCAAGCACAGTCAAAGCCTTAGAGAATAATAGTAAATGTTATTGCAGATCTAAATTTAAATGACTGTCTATGTATTTAACTTAAGCCTTTAATTATTCGTGCTGTACTGTTTTTGGTTCAAATGTTAAATATTCCTTATTGAGAATGTAAAATTGTTTCAGACAGCTTGAAACCAGTGATGCTAACATGACAACAATTATTTGTATTAACATATTTTTTCAGGTGTGCAAAATGTAATAGACAGGGTACAATATCCTGCTGCAGTAATATGTTTCTATTTCTTTCTCTTTATTTGGTAAACAATGAAAAGGTTCTAATTACAGGGGAAAGATTGTTCAGAAGTTAATTCCCTTTTGTTGTTCTTTCTGTTTAACAAAAGATTAGAAATTAAACAATCAGCACTAGTTCCTCATTAGTTGATTTCAAAGCTCTCTGCAGATGTCTTACACCTTGTACATCTCTTTCATAAACCAAATAGAAAATTAAGGGCTTGTTAATTTTTTTTGTTTTGAATATACTAGTAAAAAAAAAAACACCAAACAAAATATTAACAGAAACAGAGTATCTTAAATGCTGTCACTGGCAATTGAAGTTATATATTTGGCAAAGTTCCCAAAGAAGTAGAAATAATTTCTGCTCATTGTGCATTTTGTTGATAGAGATATCATGCTATTAATAAAGCCCAAACCTTTCCATCTTATGAACATTTTTTGTGCACAAAACATCCACAGAGAAAAGTGAAAAGAGTAAATAAAACTTCTATGTACATTTCATCCAAATAAAAAGTATGACAAGATAGATTTCTGACATTGAAAATGTATATGAATGGGTTTTACAGTTAAAACTGGCAAAAAGAGTTATAAAAATATCTGCAAACATAATGGAAGAAGTCATGTTACTGTACTCATTTTATTTTTATCAGT